GCAATCGCACTCAGGCTTGGGGGACGACGACTCTGTCACCAGATTTGAGTTGTGACCTTGCCTCCTCCCTGAAAGGTAATATTAAGAAATACAAGTACTACATACCTATCTTCGGCTTATTGAGCGGCCTCATAATAAGGTGTGCTTTCTTCGACAGAATAAAGTGTGGCGTGATCTCAAGCCACCCCATTGATGGCGCAACGTTCGCATTCACTGTGGGAAAAAAAATTCTTGAGAGACACGAGTTGACGCTCATCACAGCAATTGATCTAGTAAGCCAAACCAGACAGGGTGCTCTAGAGCACCAGCCCCCGTGTATCATTTAGGCTGCAAGGTGTGAATGGAAGGGCGATTACTTATACTCGAATTTTGCTGATGGGAGAAATAATGGGTCAATAACTTGTTAAGAAACGCTTAGTGGTAACAATGGATGCTAATAATAATTAGCAGCTATGAAACTTGACGAGATATTTGAGTAGCAGATGTTTTCATTGCTAATTACGGCTTATCCAAAAGTCGGGTGAAAAGTGGGGACATCAAATTGTGCTTTGTGTCCCTGCTATTTTATCCAAATGAGCCACCACAAACCTGCACAATAAAAGTCTTAAATTCCTTCAAGCCCTCGTAGTACTTCATGCGATTTGACTTTTATTTTAATGAAGGTTATATAGACAAGTTCTCCAATAGATGGGACCAGTTACGCAATTTTGTGGTTGTCATTTTTTTAAGCTTTACGAGGCGGTGACATGATATTTGTCAGTCCATGCAACAGGTTAATTTGATAGACGGTATCCTTTGTAGTCAGGGTTTGATTGTAGGCAAGTTGCGAGCTATTTTCAACCTCGTACAGGGTAGTTAACTCCTCACTTTGATTCCGTATAAGTTGCTAGATAAATGGAGTGCACAAAATGTCTTGGATCTTGTCGAGCTCCTAATTACAATGGCCAGGTAACAAAGACCTTCTTAGAAGCAATTTCATTGCCGAAGTGTATTTGCAAGCAGAAGAAAGAAGCGAGCAGAGATGATATCAGCACTTATTTGCCTACTTTTCAAAAATTCTTCCTTTTTAAACCGAAAAACTAATTATTTAATCTCAACGAGTTAAACTGCCTCCACGTTCTCTGCCTGTTCATAACAAGTGGTTGCACCAGATGGTGTTGCAAATCGACTGCTACCGCTTTAAGCAATAGAGGAGGAGCTAAAATGTTCCTAAGGTGAGAATAAGTGACACCTCTTTAAGTAGTATAACTTGAAATTATGATTTTATATTATGCAGGTCT